GCCATGGGATTTTTAATGACCACAGAGAGTCAGGACCTCGGTTTAACGTCTCATCCGAAAGACGGGTTTGACAGGTTCTGTGAGCTGCATCACCTGTGTTTCTAAATGAGCAGATGAAAACTTGATTTGTGACATAAGTGTAGTAAATCACAGTCAGTCCATCCGTAGGCCTTCATTATACCTGGCACGGAAGCTTCAGTCATAACTCACAGCACTGACAGCGCTGGACCATAATTGTTTGCATATGTTGCCCTAGCCATGTTTAATTCCTAATTGTTTTTCAGGCACATTATTTTCAAGTTTAATATGTATTAAATATGGCCAGAGAATGTTATTTAAAATTGACTATTTTTTGGTTATTATTAGTGTTGTGTAGCCAAACTTTTTTTTTTTGGACATAAAATATGGTTCAGTTTAGGGACCCTCTCCTAAAATATAAAGGCAATAGCTGTATATTTTGATGCATAAATACCAATTTGTACAATGTGAGAATATTAAGCATGATATTATAAAGACAAAATAATTAATTGGATTATTAAAATTAATTATTAATTGTATATTATACCGCAATTTTAATAAAACCAAATCAAATTATTAAAATATTCCATTATATACTGTATATTTGGACTAATTAAGATTTTTTTTAATGTTTTTGAAATAAATCTCTTATGCTTACCATTTGGTGCTCAATTACTATAATAATAATGTTTTTTATTATTATCAATGTTTTGTTATTTTATTACAATGTTTTATTATTGTGTCAATGTTAGTATTATTAATTAAAAGTTTTTGCTGCTTATTATTATTTAAAAAAAATCTGTGATACATTTTCTTTCCAGAATTCTTCCATGAAAGTTCAAAAGAACAACATTTATTTCAAATAGAAATGTTTTGTAACCTTATACATGTCTTTTCTGTCACTTTCTAATCAATATGTATCACTATTTTCACAAAACATTACACAAAAATTTATAGTTTAAGAAAGGTTTCTTGAACATCAAATCAGCATATTAGAATGATTTCTGAAGGATCATGTGACACTGAAGACTGGAGTAATGGCTGCTGAAAACTCAGTTTTGCCATTAAATGAATAAATTAAATGATAAGATATATTAGAATAGAAAACATGTATTTTAAATTATAAAACTATTTCACAGTACTACTGTTTTTACTGTATTTTTGATCAAATAAATGCAATCTTAATGATTCCAAACTTTTGACAAGTAGTGTCTTTATGTGTGTGTGTGTGTGTGTGTGTGTGTGTATAATACACATGATTATCACGTCTAATTTTATGCAGGAGCCACATAAGTTACTAAAATGATCATGTTATTCTCAGTGCATGCTCATTCAGCCATTTTTGTCTAAGACGTCAACGTGAGAGGACAGACAATGACAGTGTGCATGTGGAGCATGCCTGGGGCATGAATTTATGCTTGTGTGTGTGTGTGTGTGTGTGTGTGATGTGAGATTTCCCTTATGGATGCTGGATAGATGCAGTCAGCAAGACTGGTAATTACCAGTTGTCTAAACAGACAGATGGAATTAAGGAGAGTGAAGGCAATTTTCCGAACGCTTGTTTTAGAGCAAGGACCTAGAGAGTGCAAGAGCGAGCGAGAGAGAGAAAGATTACCTGACACTGCGTGTTAGCACCTCCACTTGATGTTTTTATCTTTCACTCTCCTGTCACTAGCATCAGGTGATACACTTTCACCCTCCTGACAGGATACATCTTGCCCTCTGGCCTTCTTTCTTCTACCTTCCACCTTTCCTTCCTCTTCTTTCCTTTCTCTCTTTCTATCTGTTTCTGTGTCCTTTTCTCCCTCTCATTGAAGAGAAGGTCATCCAGGGTAGATGCCCTTCTGAGATGGCTTACATAACTCAGGCTGACATATGGATCTTTTAGCACATTTTTGCTCAGCAAACTCCAGCTGTGCTCAGCATGGGCGGTGATGGCTCCCTCCTCAGTCTCCTTTCGGTGTGAATCATGTCAAGAAACCATCATTTGCAGTGACCCGTGTAAAAGCTAGAGCTGACATGCACTTATCCTAAGCCACTGATACTTGGGTGGTTTACACACACTGGCCAATTAGCTATCAAGGGATTACAACTTGTGTTGTGTGGTAGGCAGAATTGTCGCAGAGCAGCATCTGATCGCAGTGAGTAGTAGGGTAACTCCAGCCTAGACCAATAAATGAGAACTGGGATATTTGTCCACCGGTCTCTAAAGGTTTTGTATTTATGTAAAAAAAATAAGAAGAATTGCAACATTACACAGTATGTTCATATGAAAGAAGGCACATTTTTGGGAAGAATCTGGGCTTTAATGGGCTAATATTTTAATGACAGGTGTTTGCAAGCATCAGCTGAACCCACGGTTACTTACCTGTAGAGTCACACAGTGGTCCACACCATACACATCTGCAATGGTACTCCTGCCATAAGAAGAGACAGACGATCTGTCTCCTCTGAGAATCATTGTGGCGTATAACTCTCTGGGGTGCTTCTGAAATCCACTTTCTGTCTCATATGTGCCACAGCTGATTCAGAGCTGCTCCTGTTACAAATGTCCATGTGTTTAAGATGCAGCTGGTGTTAAAAGAACTGATCCTAAATCAGGTGTGGAAATAAAATTGAGATTTGACTGACTTAGGGAGTAATGTGTCTCAGAGCAGGTGAAACGGGCCTAAGTGTACACTAAACCTTTTAGAGTCTGAAAGCTAGAAAGAGGATTTCAGTGCTATGTGTTAAAGTTTGCCCAGAGGAGGGTTCTGCATTGTGCAGGGGCCCGTATTAGGAATAAAAAGGTGCTAAAATGGAAATTGTGGTGTAAAATTATCTAGAATCAAGATTGAACACACAGAAGAACAGAGAGACCTAATGATTTCATTGATTTCCTTTTAGCCACGATTCATTTTTTTTCTTGTTTAATTCTTTTAAATGTACAAACATTTTCTGTCATGCATTTGGCAAAAAGGTTTTGTTGACTATGCATTTTACCTTTGAAATTGAAGTGCAACTCTGGCATCACTGGTGTATCTTTCATACTTCTTTGTGAGCTGTGGTGTGATCTTAAAATCTTTCATTACAGATTACGTTTCCAAACAACCCAAACATAGGGGTATCCCCATGTTTACCAACTTGACCGGAAAATATGATTTTCATGGTCAATTTTTCATTTATTTTAGTGAATATTCACATAGCACAGTGCACTTCTTACTACGCTGAAATTAATATGGTGTGCGGCTGAAAACTAGGGACCTCCTGGTTGGAGTTAGTATTATCATTCACTGAAAGCAATCTTTTCAAATGTTTTAAAATTGATCATCCGAGTCTAATATACAAAAAAACATCACGGGCCGCCAGTTGCCCATCCTTGCTCTTGCAACTTAATTTAAATAAGGAGACAGAGCTGTTTTATAAATAATCGCAACCAGGTAATATGCATTTACGTGACGAAGGCATAGCTAGAAAACTGTAGTAGCTGTAGTAACTAATGGCAATGACAGTAACTCGCGATTGAGCGGCCAAACCACTAGTTATTAGGTGTGTTCGACTTCAATCCGCGCTGCGCAGACTGATCGGTGTATGACATCAAAGTACAGCGAGAGCGATTTGAAAGCATAAGGAGCTGTCTGCTCTCTATAGCTCTCATGGTACTTCAGTGTCCTACAATGATCAGTCTGCGCAGCGCTGCTACAAGTCAAACAAAGCTCATATAGCGTTAGTGGAGGGGCCATGATCAGTGACTCCGGTGTGTCATCGAGACATAATTTCAGACCTGTCCAGACCCTGTTCAGTACTACACAGTTCCCTTTCAGTCGGTCACTCTCGACGTCATGTCGGAGGACTGACGAATTGGGATCTCGCTTAGAGGGACCAATCTACTTCGAGTGTAAACTAAACGAGCCAATGCACATTGGCATGCGATTATTGCATCCAGCTGCTGCTGATCACAGCGTGAGTATAAGTAGGCAGCAGATGCAGCGCATATTCAGCTTTTCGCTTCGGAGCCGAGCGATCTGCCCCGTGTCTTCACGTAAGTTGTGGAGGTACCCCTTGTTCCCTTGAGAGAACAGAGCATTCGCAGTCTCAACTACCTCGACGAAGCAGTCTCAGGATCAGTTGTGCGAACACAGGGATTTGGTGCTCTCACACCTCAGCCTGTTGGGCCTTTGGGTCAACTGGGGAAAGAGCAAACTCTCCCCGACGCAGAGGATCTCTTTTCCCGGTATGGAGGGGACTCGGTAAGAGCAGGATGGCGGTCCCACTGAAACAGTTTCAGAGGCTCCTGGGGCATATGGCAGCTACGGCAGCAGTCACGCCGCTGGGGCTGCTCCATATGAGACCGCTGCAGCACTGGCCCCATGGCCGAGTCCCGAGGTGGGCGTGGCAACGCGGCACCTTCCGGGTCCAAGTTACACCGGCCTGCCGCCAAACCTTCACCAAGTGGTCAGACCTTGCGTTCTTCCGGGCAGGAGTGCCCCTGGAATAGATCTCTAGGCATTCTGTGGTTTGCACGGATGCCTCAACCACCGGCTGGGGGGCCATGCTCTCTGCTTATCCAATAGCTCAGATATGAACAGATTTCGAGAAAACTGTACACATGTAGGATTTTGATTGTATAATTGCCTATTTAACACAAAATTAATGAATTATAATTATCTTTATTGCCTCTTTTTTGCACATGCCATTTGTGCAGTCTCTGCACTTTTCAATGACCTGTTTTTTCAAGGAATTAATAAAATAGTGTAGGTGAGTTAAGTTGCTTTCTCAAGGCCAGAAAGAAGGACTGGGAACGTCTTCTTCTCGTCATCAGTAAGGGATTCAACCCAATAAACACCTGGCATGGGTCCTTTATTCTCTGTGTCACTCAGTTTATCACAAGATGTCTGGAGTATATCAGTTATTAGTTTGAAGAACATCTTTGTTTATCCTGTGGTATGGCATTGTTGTATAAGTTTGGCACACTGTATTGATCTCTTTTTTTCTTCTCACAGGCAGGGATGATCAGAACTGAGCAGGAGGAGTTTTTCATTGAGCCAGTGGAAACGGGACATCATGTGATTGAGCAGGAGGAAGAGGATGGTGGCCGTTCTCACATTGTGTACCGTTCTGCTGCCGTGAAGAAGCCTCCTGTTAGCCCACTAGCAGCAGATTTCCACTCCAAAGGTTAGTCCTGTTCAGCAGCTGTTCAGTGTTTATGTTAACCTGCATATTTTGCCTGTACATGCTAAACAATTCCCCTGCGTGTAAAGAAAAAATCCCTCTTGTGTTATGTAGTTATACCATTGTTGCGCTGTCTAATATTTCAGCTTTTCTAAAGCATTTTGATTCAAAAGCATTTAATTTCGAATCTAGCAGTTTTGAAGTGCGTTTGCAAAATAGTTGCACTGACATTTACTGTCAGTGTGGTTATAACTAATTGTTCATGTGGTGGACAAGCATTGTTAACCCAAAGAGTCAAAGGAGGCCTCTGGTCAGCTTGGGTTTCAGTGTTTGGATCTTCGTCCCCTGACTGCCCAGCTGAGTCCAACATCATGCGTTATATTGTTTGTAATATAGTGCCCCGTTGAAGAAAGAGAGTGTTGTCTACCTGTAATTGTGAGTCATGTAATTGAACAGAAATTTGGGTTGTGAATCGGTTATGAGACAGCCACTCAGTAAAATGTACCGTATTGTTTAAACAGTTTTGTGTAAAAGGTGTTTATTTGACCAAAAATAACTTCCAATATACATGGAACACAACTGGGTATGATATGAGATTTTGACCTTATTTATGTGATATGTGATAACCCCTAATAATGACAGTGAATAATTTAAAGAGAAATCAAATGACTTTTTTTCAGATAAAAGGCTTAATGCACTATGAACACAAACTTTCAGAGCTCAAAATTTCCTCCCTCTTATGTTCTTAATGGCGAATTTGAGTTTTAGGTAGCTTTTGATTATTTAAACATGCTGTCGATTGAAGGCTTACAAGTGACATTTTGCAGCTCTGCCAAGCAGCTGTTGAGATGTTGTTAGCACCATTTGGTCATGTACCTATTCAGGAGGTAGAAAATCGATTCAAAACCATGCGGCATGTCAGTACATCTGTTGTGTAAAGCCCTCTGAAACTGACTATTGGCACTTTAAAATGTTTTTGTTTTAAGGATATGTTTAATGAAAAAATTTGCAAGTGGTAATGGTCCAAGTAGTCTAAGCAATCATATGTGTCATATGTTTATTTATTTATTTATTTTTTAAATTTTCAACATTCTGTACAGCTTTTATACTCCTATTTGTGGGACTTGGTTGTGTTGAAAAACAGATAAAAGTCATGCTTCATTTCAGGCAGAAATCAACATGCACAGCCAGCAAGTTTTAGCAAGATTAAAAAAAAAAAAAAAAAAAACTACAACAACAACATTTGGTTCCATTTCTTGTCAGAGGAGTGGCAGCCATATGGGAAAAAATAACTGTTGCACATGCAAATAAACAATTATGCAGTTAATAACTGGTTTGTCTTCCTAACAAACCATTTACAGTAGCTGTTCACTAAAAACATTAAAATTAAAAGGGACAGATAAATAAAATGAAAATAAATAATTGTCTGGTCCTCACTTCCTGGCTATGAATTAATGAAGTATGAATTAATTAGTGCTTCAAATATTGCACTGTTAAGATGTTTTTTTGTCTGTGTGTGTGTGTGAAAAATAATAAATATTTTATTTTTATTAATATATTTATATATTCCAAGATGTTATATTGTAATCCTGTTTAAATAGTTTTTGGAAACAATTTACAATGATGTTCCATTTGTTAACATTAGTTAACCACATTAGGTAACATAAACTAACAATGAAAAATATTCTAAAGCGTTTATGTTGATTCCAACACTTACTAATACATTATTTAAAATCAAAAGTTGTTTCTATTAATGTTATTTAATGGACCTGAGCTAACATGAACTGACAATGAGCAGTTGTATTTTATTAACTAACATGAACAAAAATGAATAAATACTATAACAAATGTATTGCTTATTGTTAATGTTAGTTAATGCATTAAATAACGTTAACAAATGGAACCTTATTGCAAAGTGCTATCAAGTTTTGTTTTAACAAAAATGAAAAAAAAAAAAAGATTGCCTATGTTTTATGTCCAATTGATCACCTAAAGGTCAATCAATCGTGACCTTTAGCACTAGAGGTGTTGACGTAACGGTCCTCTGGTATGAGGGGCATCATAACTTTCAGTAGTTGCTGCATTGTGTAGCTGTGCATTGAACGGGTCCTGGACTGTACGGTGAATATGGGGGATTATGAAGGTCTATTCTGAGGTCTATACACCAGAGCCGCCAATAATAAAGGAATAAAAGCAGCTGTGGAGAGGAAAAATGAGTTTCCATAAGAGTGCATCGCAGAAGGATCTGGAAGGAGACAGATCTTAGCAAAGTGTAGACTGGTAGTTAATGCTTTGTCATTGACACCTGCTTCTCAACTGATTCCACTTCTGGAGTGTTATGGTGTGTGTGTGTGTGTTTGCATACTTTTCTTTCTGTGTAACACCCTGCTATGATAATATTATCCATACTGAGCCACACACCCTGTTGTATATGCATTTAATACATGCATCTCTGCACACATTTACAAAGTAGTCTCTCTGTTGCTTGGTGAGCTGCAGTGTGCGCCTATGAAGCGCTAGGGTCTGGATGGCATGGGAAGCGATGCTTGGGAGGTGGTCGTGCTGCACTCTGCTGTGAAAAAGTTTTTCATGGCCAGACGGTCATGTGACGCAAAGACAACATACAGTAACTGAGTTGTGTTCCTGCTATGCTGCATTTCACCTTCCCAGATTTCATACCAAGTGCTATACAACATCAGCTTAAAGGCGCAGTAGGAGATCTTGGAAAATGCACCCTCCCTGCAATCGCTGCCCAAAGCCACGTCCCTGAACGCATATACGCTCACAGACCAGAATACCAGAGACAACATTACTACAATAGGCTACATCAGCAGTTCCCAATTCCAGTCCTTGCACTGGATGTGAAGACATGTGTGTGTGAGTGTGATGTGTGTGAAGACGCTGTGCAGCACAAATCCGTGAATGAATGTTCTGAAGTGAAGTAAACTTCAACGGATTTCCCCCGCTCAGAGAGTAGGGAGCAATGAACACTGTGGAGGGACCATATAGATCGGAACACAGGTCATGCACGTAGCTCACTTCTAACGAGCTGGTTATCTGAATCGGGTGTGTTAACTAAGCAAGACATGCAAAATATGCAGAGCTGGGGGGCGCGAGGACAGGAATTGGGAACCGCTGGGCTACATCATGTGTCATTCACCAGTGAGAAAACTTTAAAAGTACTACAATACCAGCTTATACCAACGCGCTGATGACGTATCCTCTCTGCGTGAACCGGGTGTGCAGAGTTATGCTAATACATACGTTGACAGACAGGTAGGAAAGCCAATTAAAACGCTCGGACCGAGCGTTTTGATTGGATGAACATATCTTGGTCCTACGCCTTTCACAAAATATATAAATACAGATAAATACATTTAGACCACTTAACTTAATGATTGCTATCGTGATGTGAAGAGACTTTCAACCAGCTTAATAATAAAATGTTTCTGAAGATAATCACCTATTGCACCTTTAATGGTTGTTCTTGAGGTGAACAGTTTGTTACAATTTAATGTCTACCATAGTATAATTTGTTGAACATGAGCGTTATGTAAATCATGAATCAAACTGTGAGACATGAGACCTGAAACATTTCTTTCATGGTGATTTATTGCAACAAGAACTGGGTGACTTATTGAGAATTTACTATATGTTCATAATGATTTTGCTGGTTCTATAAAATTATGCAGCATTGTGAATATTGAGATTTCATTTAGGTTTTAAAAAAAGTGTCATTACATTAGTTTTGCATGCTGCTGTATTTTTTTTAATGATGATAATGTTTTGATTAGTAGAGAATGGGAGGCCACGGAGTCCTAATTTCATAGATATGATTAAAATCCTGTGCAACGGATTTATATAGTTTAAATTACTTTTCTATTTTCTAAGAGAATAAAATTGGTTTCACATAAACATATTTATTTTTAATTAAATCAAAACCAATTCATGAACTTAATTAAAAACAGTTCATTTAGATGTTACCACAGAAAGCATATTTAGGTTTATTTATTTGATGCACCAATACTGAATTTTGCTGCCGATACCGATAGCCGATTATTCAGAATGATATCTGCAATACCGATGCCGTTACCGATTTTGATTTTCTTAAGGAAAAAAAAACTCTCCTAACCAATGCTGTTAACTACACAGGGAGCCCTATCATTTGGCACATTACTATAATATTAAAGGTTAAAATTAAAGGGATAGTTCACCCAAAAATTAAAATTCTGTCATTATTTACTCACACTCATGTCATGTCACCCTCCCATAGACAGCAAGGGTCCTAACACGATCAAGGCCCAGAAACATAGCAAGGACATCGGTAAAATAATCCATGTGACATCAGGGGTTCAACCGTAATTTTACAAAGCTACGAGAATACTTTTTGAGCTCAAAAGAAAAAAAAAAGATTTATTCAACAACGCGTCTCCTCCGCATCACCCTAGCGCCATTTTGGAGCATATCCACTGAACGTAAATTGCATATGCTGTTTTGTGTCAGCTGCGCCACGTGTATAAGCTGTTTATGTCGTTTACACTTTGATTTGTACGAAAAAAATTTATCCGCGTGGCGCAGCTGACACAAAACAGCATACGCAATTTATGTTCAAAATGGCGCTAGGGTGACGCAGAGGAGACAAAATGTTGAATAAAGTTTAAAATTACGGTTGAACCCCTGATGTCACATGGATTATTTTACCGATGTCCTTGCTATGTTTCTGGGCCTTGATCATGTTAGGACCCTTGCTGTCTATGGGAGGGTCAGAGAGCTCTCAGATTCCATCAAAAATATCTTAATTTGTGTTCCGAAGATGAACAGAGGTCTTACAGGTTTGTAACAACATGAGGGTGAGTAATTAATGAATACATTTTCATTTTTGTGTGAACTATCCCTTTAACAACAGATATATTATATTAAACTGCTATTTATTTTCAGATAGTATAATTACACTCAAGTAAAAATGTCTGTTTACAACTCATTTGCACATAGTCTTCATAAAT